GGCGGCTGCTCTCTGCCGGCCGCAGCGTTGCCGAGCCCGCTCAAAGCGCTGCCAAGGCTCTTGCGTTAATGGTTCTGCGTTTTCCGTGGTGAAAGCCGCGCCGTTTCCCTCTGAGCAGCTTTAGCAGAGCATCGGTTCCGGGTATGGCTCAAGGTTTAATTTTCAGACGCTTGTTAAAAGTTTTCTTCACGTGGCGTTTATTTTTTAACCTGTTTATGTCTGATACAGAGACTGAATATCAGCCTGTAATCCCACGCCGGCCTACTTTCTCCAAACTTCCCTAAGTGATCCAAGCGCCATGGGCTTTAGTAAGTCCACTCCATCTAGTAGTAATAAGGTCATTAGCGGAATGGTGGTTCCCAGGTGGCCGATGTCAGCCTTTTAAAATTTATCCCAGTGGAGGTTTCTTGATCCGAGTAATAGCAGAGAGGCACGTTTCTCGGAGATTGTTAAAGCAGTTGCTCTATGGACAGGATGAACGGAGGGGCTACCCCAGCGGGACTCGGGGAGGAAGCGTTCTAAAATGGCCGCCCGCCCCTCTGTTTGCTCAGCTGGAAGGTGAATGGAAAGGCTGAGGGCCAGGGGAAATGAGATTAATCAAGTAGGCAGCTGCCCATGGAAAAAAAAAAAAACCACAATCAGGCTGAGAAAAGCCAATTTAAGTGACTAGTTGAAGAGACCGTTTCACTGACTGTTAGGCACAATCTGGATCGTCACCTGTGGAAGTTTTCCGTAAGAGTTCAAGGAAGAGGAAACCACTGTAAGTTTTTCTCACCAGGACATCACCCACTGATAGAGGACACAAGTCCTCTGAATTGCTGCCTCTGGAATGCAGGCTTCGGTTATGCCATCTGTGCAACGTTTCTGCATCTTGCAGGAAGGAACACTATCTTTGCTTTTTAGCCTCTTTCTCCCAGACTGGTTGAAGAAATTGGGAAGGCTGGATGTGGAAACAGAGCACCACTTCTGCCTGCACAGAAGTGGAGTCTAGAAGGAACAATCTCATTAGGCCATTGCTCTGCACTTACACGATAATGGTTCATCTCGGTGCAACTGCTGTTACTGCATGTACAGAAAAGCAAGGCTGGTATTTACAGTGGGTTTCGGCTTTGTGCTAAACTGCATAAACACCGAAAAACAGAGTGGAAAGTGAAGATAGTAAAGTCCTAATAACATCTCTGCTGGAAATCATGACTGATCATTCTGTAGCCTCACTTGAAATACCATTCACCAAGCCTGTATTTGTCCAAGGTCATTGGGACAGAATATTGTTCATTGTTACAGTTTGGGAGTGTAAAGTTTTGGAATACTATAGTTTGTTTACAGGTAACACACAGTTCCAGAATGATGGACAAATAGCTGAAATTTGGACAGTGCCAGAACAAATATATTCTTGCTTGTGGAGAGATGGGCAGCACCTAGATACAATGCAATCTAGATAGTATCAATTTAGATAAAAACATGAAGAAGCAAAAATAGATTTAAGCTTTCTCAGTCAAAGAGCAGAAGTATAGAGCATTTATGGGACTGAGGAAAATTACATACTTAGGCATTGCTTGAGCTGGGGCAAAATACAGGCGTGTAGGAGAATCCTCACAAGCCACACTCTGAACATGAGTAATCACCATCCAGCAACACCTACTGTCAGTTTAGTCTTAGGACTTTGCTCTTGCTTCTCTTCAGAGACTGATACACTGTCATTATTTGCAGTGCACAGTAATATTTTTATTGTTTTCCTCAGAGCATGCTTGGCCTTTTTGATTATAGGCTTTATTTTGTATCACTTTCTTGAATATTTTTATCAGCATTCATGTGAGCTAAGTATATAACAAAATTAGAGGTTTTATTATTTCTTACATAATGGGCTTTCCTATGTTTCTTACTTAGGACATTATCTCAAGAGCTATTATGAGATACAGTTTTCAGTCAGCCTATTTTCTGTCACTAGATATCTAGAGTTAAATATAATTTATTCTGCAATAGCATGGCTGGAAATACTATGCAATTTAGTATTATTTCTACAAGAAAATTAAATTATTAGAATGACAATGAAGAAGAAAATCAGGTATACCAACAAAAAAGAATAAATTGCTTTTAAAAAAACACCAGAAAGTGAGGTGTGACCCAGGAGTATTCATCTTTGTACGTAGTAGAGCTAAAAGAAAGGTATCCAAATAACTAAGTAATTTACTCTAGCATAGATTTTTTAAAACAGATTATACCAGTACCAAGGAACATTGCAACAGACATTTGTGTCTGAATTTTTACTGTTTCTGTTTTATCAGTGCCAGTTATGACTAGCTGATGTATTCTAGTCATACGACATTTCGTTGGAGATGGCCATGAAGTACAACTGGCTTTTTCAGGTGGAAAAATTTCCTATCAGAAGTATCTGAGTCTGCTCAAAATTGGTATTAAAAATGAAGCTAACAGTCTTGCTTCTTTTCTGTTAAAGGTATCATTTATTTTGTCCTTTTCTTCTTTCTTCAACTTTATAAATACATAAATGTTACTCTTACTTCTTTTCACTAGGAAAAAGGGCAAAAGAGACTTTTGCAAAAGGGGGAAAAACTACTTTTATAGTTTCTCTGCTCCTAGGTGGAAATATTGAGGGGCAGGAAGAGAGGAAAATCAAGCCACACATACAAAATAAACCACTCCCAAAACAACAGAAAAAATGGTATGAATATTTGGAATTAATCATTTCATTTCATTAAAAAAACCCAACTTTTTTATTCAGCATGATGCATCTTTGTAATAATTCATTTTATTTTCTTTAGTTTAAAGGAAATTACTCATCCCTTAACATTATTGCTCTAAGGATTCCCCAAACACTTTAAAAGCAATCCTACATATGCTTATACCTATCAACGTACTGTTGTATATATGGGAAGCGACTGTCAGATTACTGTAGCGTGCCTACGCACCACACACCACTTTACAGAATATTATAACCTCACCGATGTTCCCTTCTACATATTTTCTCTTTAATCCACCTGGTCCCTTTTTCTTTTGAAAGTTTTCACATACCTTAAGTTGTAGATGGCTCCTATCACCTTGTTCTCCCGTGTTTCTTCCATGTTCTGGTGCTTGAGGTAGGGCTGGAAGGGCCTTAACTCATCAGGTCTCTTAAGCACATGTCGTCTTTCACACGTGCAAATAGCCCTAGGTGCTGAACAGGAATGAAATAAAACGTAAGTGGAATGAAACTCTCAGCATATACATCTCCATTCTCTGGAGCAGGGATTTCCTGTACAGAATTACAGACTTAACAACGTGGAGAGAACTTACTTCTTGCCTTTTTGCTCATCCATCCATGTCTAAAAGTCTTCAGATGTCAAAATAAGGATTTAAAGCCTCTCTGAAAAGCATTATTATCCAGCTCCCAGAATCCTATGTTGCAGGTTCAGCACTGAGCATTGCTGATCTCAACAAGATTTTATGAAGTCCTTTTTGCAATCTGTACTGAAGACACGTACACAGGGAATCATTAACTCAAGTAAAAAACTTCACATTCCTCAGCTGAGCATCGCAAACCAGTAACCCTGTGATTGCCATGTTTGCATGACCTCTTCTTATTTAGTTGACATGCAGATTGTTTCATTGTGACAGTCTTAAAGATAAATCTCTATTTTCAGTGAATGGATATAAACTGTAAAAAAAAGTTGGGCCACTGTCATCCCAGTCTCATCATGCTGAAGCCTGGAGAGCATCATCCCAGATGTATTCAGATGTTATCTGTGGGATCCGAAGTTGTTTTTTTTTTTTTCCACAAGAGCTTCGCTGCCCAGTTCTTGTTTATCCTGTGCAAGTCAATAGTTCTTTATTTCATAAAAGAGTTCACCTACTTTTGTTACTTGGCTTTGAGAAGAGTCTTTAGTGTTTAGCAAGGGAGTGCCTTCCTGTTCTCAAGAGCCCGTCTGCAAAGGAAACACTGACAAGACCATCAAGGCTCCAGAGGAACTGCTTTTGCATTCATGCACATTTTGAACAAAAAAGATTGTGTAGAGTAAGAGTTTGCAAGGTTTTAAGTTAAATGTATTTCTAAATTAATATTGACACAACAGAATAGAAAGTTTAAATACAATATTTATTGCAATTTATTCTTTTCAAGTCCTACATACAGGATGTATTAAAAGCATATAATGTAACTGCATTATTTATACAGCGTGTATGAAAACTGTATCCCAAAATACTTTCCAGAGTATCTGCAATAAATCACAAAACAATACTTATCATGGTACAAATGTAGTCATACAATTGACTTATATTTAATGCACTTTCTGGGACCTATCTATATGGCTTTTATTGATGTTTACAGAAATTTTACTAGTTTCTAGTATTATAGTACTAATTAACCCAATCTCAAATTGACAAAATTTATACTGAAGCATTACAGTCTTTTCAGTCAGATTTGTTATTATCTTTGCTAATTTACATTGCTGCTGATTTGACTGGAAAGCTCTACATTTTCATGTAACACAATTATATAAATAGTTCCTCTCCTGTTCTTCACAGTTACCAAATTTAGACCCGTAGTCCAATCAAACAAATGATGGCCATCCAGCTCATTGCATGTCAAAGTGCTCTTAAAATATAGCATAGACTTCAATCCTTATTTGGTTTAGAAAAAAATACCATTTCATCAAATAGTCAAGACAGAATTTATACAGAAAACTTTTCCAGGAAAAATTCAACACCTTGCTGCAGTCTTGGTAAGGTCTTGAGCAGATGATCATCATTTTGCAAGTCTCAGAGTTAAAATAGCTTGCAGTATTTTCAGAGGAGATCCTCAGGAGTATAATAAAAGTAGAATCAACTTTCTTTTCAAGTCTGTGTCAAAACAGCATTTCAATACTTCATCCTGCCCTCTCCTACCATTCACTGAGCACCTCACAGTCATCACGTTCTGTATTCTGAATTCTGAATATTCTGGCCCAAAAACAGAGGCATAAAGTATTTTTACTTAAACTTGTCAGTTAACGTCTTTTACAACAATGGGCATTTCCTTTTGTCTATAAATATACCACCTTCATCCATTCATCCAAAGTTTGAAGATAACTTTCACAGACCATAGTTCAGAATTAAATTCCTGAAATACAGAGGGACTATTTGGGCACAAAAAATGCTAAAAGGCATTATGTAATGAACTAAAGCTGCACCCCTACTGGACATCAATATGGCCAGTTGGGATTAGTTTTTAGTGTCTTCAACAGATACTGTCCAAATATTTGCTGTTACCAGCCACTAGAGGGAGATACGATTACACAAGTACAAAGCTTAACCCTGAAATTTGAGTCGGGTCATTACCCATCGTCCTTTAGGTTCATGAACATACACTTCCAATTTAATGTTTTCTCATTTAGAGTTTCACTTCATGATCTTAATTGTTCATAACCATAATTCATTTAGTTATTGATCCAATTAACTGTAACTTGGGAACTTTGTTCAGCAAACTCAGTCTCCCAAATTCACTAAAGTATCCAAACCATCATTCAATCCAAAACACCCTACACACATGGTTAAGACTACAGGTTCTCCATGTGTCATCTGTTTCCATGTCTTTGGCATTCAACTGCAAGACAATTCCTCTGCTTTGCATAATGAGAGGGTGCTTTGTCTGAGGACTGTTTTTATAGGGAGCAGACTTTATTCTCGGGGACCTCCTTTTCAAGCCCATTCCCACTCCAGAGGTTTTGCACATCTTCTCTGGAGGAAGCTATTTAAGCGAATGTCTGGTATTATGCCTGTTTACTAATGTGACAGCTGGAGGGTTTTCTTTGCCCTTCTGATATCTATGAGATCTTTTGCACTTCCTCATCACATGCAAAGTAAACAGTTTCCTTTTAGAGCTATTAAAACTAACAATGTATTTTTAAATTATTCTTTTTAAAAGAAACATTGAGCAGCTGTTAGTTTGTGACTTCCATACCAGTAAGGATATAGGCTTCCTTCACACAGCAGACAATTTACTTTTTTGTTAATGGCTTTGACTGCAATTATGTCTTCATTTCTTTTTGCATAATACAATCCATAATATTGTGCTTGACGTTTTAGAAAGGATGACCATTTTAAATTCTCAGGACTTGAACAAGTCATGAGGAAAAAAATAGCTTATGTGCAAACAGAGGGTGATATGAGCACAAAAGCTTGAAAAGTTTGAGCTTCCTGTTTTATTTTGTATATGCTTTGATTATATCAAGCAATTTGTGTTCCTGCAAGATACCTGTGCCACATCAAAACAGGCTTCTTTATTTAGTAGTTAAACAGCACAGCTACAGAGTAAACAAAGTTTTCTAACAAAATCAGAAACCCATGAAATAACACAGGAGAAAGATTTGGATTATGAGGTCAATATTATTATTTTAAATGGTGCTCTGAGTATACTTAATTTGAACAGACAGTACTGAATTTAAGAACTTGCATTAGACTGGAGATAAAAGCAATCACTTTCTGAAACCTGGTGGCAAGGTGAGTACCTCCTGGGATTGATGTTCAATGCAAGAACAATATTAATCATACAAAACGTAAGTTGTTTGTTTTCTATAGTAGTTATTGTAATAATGAAAAAAGCGCCCTTCATTCATGTTAGTAGAACTACAGAAAATATTCATAATTCATTTTAGTTCACTAAGACTGGGAGATCAAAACAAGATGTAAAAAATACCCTATATATATTTAAATAATTTCAATGCTAGATGCAGTCGTTCCTGATGGTTCTTTGAAGTCAAGGATAAGATTTCAAGACCTTGAGGAGGGTGGTAGGGGGGAAGGGGGAAGAGGGCAGGGGGAGGGAAGAGTACTCAATCAAAATCCTGATTCAGGATTGCTATTGCTGTAGGAATTGAAAGGACTGCTGCAGGTTGCTGTAAGCAAAATTCTATTTATTGAAAATTCCTTCCTCTAACGGAAAAGTAAATTAAAAAAAGTGACAGGGATTTTCCTGCACAATTACTATTCAGTGTATCACCCAATAGTCACTCTGTGCCATGACTGTGGAAGTGCAAACGAGTGCCTCAGCCCAACGAAGCAAAATCCATTGTCATCTGCTCTATTGTTTACTGTTTTGAGCAACAAACGTGACATTCATCTGCATGCATTGAGGGAATTGTTTGAAACAGCCCAGTTGCATCTCTCCCTCTCAGCAAGAGTGCTGGTTACAAGTGAACTTCTTCCAGGTGAACAGAGCCCTCAACTGTACTAGGTCTCTGTGACAGGCATGAACAGCCCTCACACTTTGTACATGGACAAAGGAGGAGCTCTCTGACTAATGCCCTCTGCCAGCATGTTTTCAGATACTGCTTCTAGTAGTACTGAAAACAAAATATATCAGAGATTCATTACACAAACAGAATTACAACACAATTGAAGAAAAGAACTATACAGCTATACAACTCCTTCCTTACAGGCATTTGAAATGACACATTGCACTAGACAGCTTCTAAAGAAGCAATATTGGCTGCTTTCACTCATTCCCCTTCTTCCATATCCCCCTCACAGTTAATGTCAGTAGTAACTTCAGATAAGAAGTCACTAAAAAGCTGCTTTCGGGATAAATTTAGCAAGACTCCATGCTGCTGTTCTTCTCTATGACTTGATAAAAATTTATCTAATCAAGCTGCAAAGGCGCAAGATATTTGCTCATATTTAGAAAGCACGTTGACTTGAACGCTCAAGATGTACTGTTCTTTGTGCTAAATTCCAACACTCTCTTGAATGGGGTGTATGTCCTCACCGGCCTTTCACTTTCAGGAGATCTTCTGTTCTCAGTACTTGTACTGTTAAGGAGACAAGAAAAAGCTTACAGAGTTAATGCCAGAGTATCAGACAGCTGGTCTGGAAATGCCACGGCAATGAACTTGTGCCTTGTTATTGATATTGACAGGCTGAAATTAAACTATTCCCCGTATTTGTTATGTTCCATATTTCTTTTCTATAATGCCACAAAGAATATTTGATAAAAATTGTGGCAGATACTGACAAGTTTACATGCAGACATCCGCTAGAGCTCGTATTGGAACGTCCAGCAATAAAGCTACTAGGACTGAGGATCCTGCAACAATAAAGACAGCAGTATTACATTTAAAAACACATTTAACTGTGAAGAGTAATTGCATAAAATCTAAACTGCATAGAGGTAAATTTCTGCATAGAGATAAATCTCAAAACTAGGAAAAATATCAGATAAGTAGGAGCTGTGGTTACATACAGAGGAGCCTCAGAGAAGACAACAAAAAGAGCTTTCTGTTGGCACCCTGAATGAAAAACACTGGTTTTGAGGTTTCAAAACTCATGCCATTAAAATATGCTCTAGGCTGAGCACTGAAATGAGTGTATTTTTAAATTGGGAAGGAAATTTTGGTTTGTATTGCAGCTTGCTGATTTCATATGCTAATTTACATTCCTCACACTAAATGATTCAATTTGTAGGGCTGTTAAGAGGAACAAGTTTACTTGTTGGTAGTAAAAGTAATGTGCAACGGTCCTCCTTACCTTACTATTCTGATTTCTGTTTTGCCCTTCTCTGTGTTAGGGGGAAGATTCAAGTGCAAATCCACAGCCTTGCTCCCAGGGCTCAGTGCAAGCCTTTTGCAGTGTTCAGGGCAGAAAATGGGGGGGAAGAAAAGGGGAGGCACGATACCTGGATCTTTACAAAGCCAGGCTACAGAGCCTGTAGTTACAGCTACAGGCCACCACAGATCAGAGACAACCATTCCAGTACAGAAGTGGTAATGTTACTTGGCAATCTTCCACCTAGGGCTAGGATATCTCTGGAAATTGCTGCAGCCCTAAACTATTACTGTTAGTGTTATATGCCCTTTAAAATGGTTCTGGACACATCTCCCGGAACACAAAGAATAAAGCATTCATGAAGCCAGCATTAACCAGTCTCAGCGTAGAGCTGTCAGTTGTCTTCTGCTGTGCTGCCAGCAGACACATTTCATCAATATTTCCCACATTTCACAAAGTCAGATCTCTTGACTTCTAGCTTTACTCCCTGCTTAAGTCACATTACTATAAATAAGTAGTTCCCAAGGATTTGCAATATGTTTCCATCTTTCAAAAAAAGAAATCCTACCCCATAAGTCACTGAAGTATTCTACAGGTAGCAGATATGCCCTTTTAAACTTAGGAAAATTCTGCAAAACTCCACAATCCATTCTAACAGTTTATTAGCACAATGGTTTACTAATACAGCACCAATAAGGGATGTTATGAAAAAGTTTCCTATGAACAAGAAGAAAAAGTAAATACCTGTATGGAAGATCACATTCTACACCAGTATCTCTGGTTTCTATATTGGTCTTAGGTTGGTTTTCCATTAAGTAGTCCAATTTGTCTTGTAATTCTTTATTCTGGAAAACAGTAATTATCATCACAAGTTTATTTTATTTGAATTATGTTAATTAAACAAGGGAATAAAATTGCATATTGGCTTATCCCAACAAGAAATAACAAAAGTATTTATTGAGAAAATAAAGGAATCCTTATTCCTGAGGGGGAAAAAAAAAAAAAGTAAACCAACAGCTTTATTCAAAAGCTTCTGGTTTAGGTAATTATAATACTGTTATAAAATTGTATGTTAAGGAACTTAGCATTAATATTGAGACTTTGTATTACATACATTCCTCATGCAACTGGTGTCCTAAGTTTGATTTCCATACTGAAGAACAGCAAATACTCATCCAGATAGCATCAGATGACATTGTTTCAAATTTCATTTGGTTTCATAAAATAATCACAGTAATATAAACTTGAAAGGTAATGCCTTACCTCACATTCTAAGAAAGATATTTTTTCTAAAAGCTGTATTATAAATAATTCCTTTTCTTTTACTTTCTTCCTTAGCACTTCAATCTATGAAGAAAAATAAAACAAATGTATTTAGTCTAACGGGGATAGGAAGAGGAGGAAAAAGACCTAGATATGACAGGAAGAAAACATGTTTAATTTTATTGTTGAGCAACAATTGAGTACCTACACATATTCACAAACTGCTTTAATCCGTGGATTAGCTATCATCCCATAAAAGATGATACACATATACTACCATGGCTTTTAAGAATTTGTATTTTTCTGCAAAGAGAACTGAAACTCAAATATTGTCATGTAACAAAGCAAACTAGTGAAAACTCCATCTTTGATTCAAGGGCCTTTGCTGTAGTCAGTTTTAAATACATCCAAAAGTATGTTGCATGTTTGCTAGTTTCTTGAAGGTCTTATTTGTTCAGTTATGTCCTAGCATACCAGACTCCTTAGAAAAAAGTGCATTTTCATTTTATACCTAGGGAATGGAAAGAAGTTATTTACAAGTGTTCATGAAAATAAAGTTAGCTGTGCCAGAAACATTGCATATTAATACTGTTCCATATGGAACAGAAGACAATCTTCCTTATGTTCTGGGATTCCTGCAGGTTACCACAAGAACTTTTGCATTAAATCTTTCCTTGTTACGAGCACAAGCAGGTAAGACCAGAGAAACTGGTATGACCCAGATTTCATACCAGTCCCTTGCTGCTGGCCCAAAGCTGTTCTGATTATGTGAAAATGGCTTTCTAAAGCTCCTAAAGCTACAGTTTTCCTCTTCCATTCTTTGGAACCCTTTGCCTAAAGCAAGATTTGCTGTATGAGGTTAATCCCGTTATAAGCAATAGTCTAAGAGCCCTGTTGACTGGCACAGAAGTCAGTTCCTTTCAGCTGATGGCATTTAGGAGACAATATCATCTTGTGCAAACAAACTGATTTTCTCCTCCAACCAAAGGAAAAGTCACGAGTTATTCTCTCTCAACCCCTGCTGACTACAACTACCAAAACAGCGGCTAATAAAAAGCAAACAAAACAATGGCTAAACAACAACTTCAACGCCCTGGGAAGCAGTTCAGGTTATTAGTCATAGACAGCTGTAGACACCACTTTACAAGCACAGAAGACAAGATGCTTCCTATATCTGTAGTTACAGTCTACTTCAGATGCAGAAAGCAGTACTAAAAATATTTCTAAGGAGAATCATCAGAAGTGCACTGAAAGATGAGTTTGAGGGAGAACAGGGATTCTGCATCATGTTTACCTGCAGGTAGGAACTAGGAGAAGATGGATTCTGTGCTCATGCAAGTCTTGTCCTACAGCAACAGCAATGAAAGCTGATAGCAGTGGGTACTCTTTTTGCTCTGTGTTAAAATGGTGTCAGGTCAGTAATTTTTCCAATTAAATTTCAATCCACCTTGTTGAACAAGCCAGTTCAGGTCAGACGACATCAAAGTCAAAAACGCTCCATGTCAGCTCTCTTTAACTAGGCAGAGCCTGAGCAACAACTTCTGCTTTACCAAACAGAGCATTATCTAAGGCAATTGTCTCTACAATTCATTAAATTAAATTAAAGATATAAAGAGTTTCTGATCTTGAGCCTGAAAGCAGAATCAGAAGTAAACCAAGCAAGTAAATGGATGGTCCATATCACAAATGGAATGCCAGTCTACGATCCACTGCTTTTAGTAAGCCTCTATTACTGTATATGTTAAAAACTGCACCCCTTAAATCTACGTTAGATGAGGAAAGAAAGATATTCCAACTGCCATTACAGCAGTAGAAAAGCATGTATCCCACACGTTCCTTCACATTTTTGGGCAATATGCCAACAGTGGAAAAAAAAAAAAAACAGATCTATGCCTATAGCTTTTTTATCACAATAAACCAATAAAAATACCTATGCATAATTAAAAAAATACATATTTTCTATAAAACTCCACATTAAGTGAGGTAGCTTTATTTTGTCAAGTTATTGATTGGCTATGGGCTTCACTGATAGAATTTTAAGAAAAAAAGTAAAAAGTATTTTTTAGTAAAAAATTTAGTGGACTTTTAAAGTTAATTCATTTTGTATAACAGCCAAACTGAACTCAAGGAAAGCTCAGAATACATTAATTTTTCCTGGCAGTCATTATGTTACATTAATATGCAAGAAAGACCATTTCTAAATACTTAGGTCAAATTTTCCGTTCACTCTCACCAGTGACTTTTTAACTCTATATCTTAAAATCGATTTTGTGAAAGAACATTAACAAACCCCCTCAAAACCACCAGTGTAAAACCTTTCAGTATGTCCAGAAACAATGATTAGTAGAAATATTCACGTCCTGCTAAAAAAGAATGATAAAATACTCAAAGTTACAATAATCAAATACTATCACCCTCCCAAAAATATACTGCTAGGTATTACAAAACATTTCAACCAAAATGTACAGAACTATGAAAAAAATGAAGCAAAAAAATGCATAAATTAAACCAAAGAATGAAAAGTTAAAAAACCACCAACTCAACTTTAATATAGTCTTCATGATCTTCAGTTATTCACATCTTATTGACACAATAATCAGTTATTACTTGGAAATGCTAAAGTGTAAACCACATACAGTCAGTGTTTTCAACTGAATAGTTAGAGAATATGAGTGCTGTCATCATACATCTTTCTCAAAACTGAGTATTCCTTTTTTTTTTTTACTTTAAAGCGCATATGAAAGCTATCCATATCATCTAAAGCTATTACCATGTCCGTATTCAAATCACAGAAACGCAAAGCTTGTAGCATTTTCAGAAAAATCACAGAACATATTTTGATCTTCATATTTAATTACAACTTTGTTTAATAGTATGACTAAATTAAGTCTGCTATATCTCCACTGGTTCAATATCTTCACTCCTGCCAATAAATTCTGCTTCAGAAAAGATAAACTGTTCTTTTAGGACTTTCAAGTGGGTCTTCTCTATTAATATTCTGTTCTCCTACTATGCATACAAGGAAATAATTTTAATGCCAATAATCTGTACCACACACAGACAACTGAAGCCACACACAGCTATCTGATCAGGGGAGGTTTTGTCCTGAAGGATATCCATTCTTGTTATTGAAGATAATATACCTCATCAGCTGCTTATTCAGGTTTTTACATCAAACACAAAATATTTCTGTTTCCAAGTAATTGAATTATGGATTATCCAAAAGCAAGACCAAACTCTTGTGTTTCATAGCCATTTACCTTAAGTTATATTCACTCTATGATACAAAGGCTCTAAGAGGTGAACTGTGACAGTAACCATTATGTTTCTCAGTATTATGTACAAATATATTTAGTGTAAGTTAAAATTAAACTTCTATTTGTTTATTCTTCACATTGGATACAAACACAAAAACTCCCTAAGGATGTTTTTGAGTTATTTTAACTACAATAGTCTGAAGGCAAAAACAAGCACAGACATCTTAAAAATCTAACAGAGAATACAAAGAGGAAGGCTTTGACAAACAGCTTCAAACCCTTCCCAAACACAAACCTGAACTCCAAAAACTCCAAAAAGACATTTTGTAATTTGGCAGGAATGTGGGGGGTTTTAGGGTTTTTTTGTTGTTGTTGTTTTTTTTTTTTAATGTGCGTGAGTATCCTCTAAGGACTAGCAGACTGAACCATACACAACAGTACTCCCTGCCTCATTTTAACATGTTTACATAGCATCAGTCAGAACCCATTAAATTGATCTGCTTTGTCCCCCTTAAGAATCATGCCAGAATTTAAAAATACGACTTCTCTTCCACAGTATGGAGAAGAGACAATGTAGCACTATATCATCACATAAAAGTCTTAGGCTAGCAGTAAGCCAGAATGGAATGATTAGACCGTGCAGATTACAGATACAGTAAGCCTGTGAATTGGGTAATACAAAAAACTTTTTGGTGGATCTTCAGAACGTTACAATTGCAAAGACACAGCCAAAACACCTTTCAGGAGAAATAAATTCAGCAGTGGCTAAAATGAGAGAGGCTGTTTCAGCACCAGGAAAAAAGTCCTGCAGTCCCTGCTTCCTAGATGCAGCAGAGCTACCCTTTGAGGTCGCTGCAGAAGGAAAGCAGGGCCAGAATGTAGCAGGGCATCCGTATTATTTCATACAGGCATGCTGCACCCCCAGACAGATGGCCAACTAGTTGTTTTAGCAGCTGCTGCAGTCCAAGGGCTGAAACAAGTTCCACCAAAGTTATGACACACCTTTAAACCTGCCCACAGGCCTGACACAGATGACACATCCCACCAGAGTAGTTTACTACAAAAAAGTTTATTTACACTGAATAAGGACATGAGTACACATCATCTTATGCTGTTAGCACCAGGAGTGAGCAAACCTGATTTGATTAATTCTTGAGGGGACATGTCATGGGAAAACATGAAAAGGGAAAACATGAAAACCAGGAATAACTTTAGAGGATTATATTAATATATTACTATATTAAATAAAACAAAACCTTAATTCATATATTTATATAAGTCACATTGCATAAAGTCAAAGTGATGGTTTTCTTTGACAGAGGAACAAAACAAGAACACTGGATCATAATGTACTGGGTAAAAACACTTAAAATTCAAACCTTGCTACTTAATGTCATTTTGATTTTTCCATTAAAATGTTATGGCAAACTGAAGTAAGATAACACTTAAAGCATCATAAACTTGTATTGCACAATCCCAAGTCTTGAGAGTGTCTTTGTTTCAAGGAGTTGCATAAAGCAAGAGAACAACTAGCAGGTGATAGAGCAATAGATTTTTGACTTTTGGTTGAATATAAGGTAAGGAGAAGGAGAGGAGAAGCAAGACACGTCAAACACAGTACTGAACTGAGGGCCCAAGTGGTGGCCAGAATAGTCTAGGGTCAGAAACAGATCAGTGCACACCAAAGACTCAACTTCTATGTACTGACTCTTGGATCTGAGTCACTTCTGGACTGACTCCAGGACAAAATTATCACCAAGAGGTTCCTACATTTTCTTTCGGCAATGCCCAAGGCCTATAATCCACCTCATCCTTGCTGGGTCTGCA